ATATATATATATATATATATATATATATATATTATATATATATATATATATATATATTATATATATATATATATATATATATATATATATATATATATATATATATATATATATATATATATATATATATATATATACACACGTGTATATATATATATATATACAGTGGACCCCGGTTAACGACATTTTTTCACTCCAAAAGTATGTTCAGGTGCCAGTACTGACCGAATTTGTTCCCATAAGAAATATTGTGAAGTAGATTAGTCCATTTCAGACCCCCAAACATACACGTACAAACGCACTTACATAAATACACTTACATAATTGGTCGCATTCGGAGGTAATCGTTATGCGGGGGTCCACTGTATATATATATATAAAAGGTAGTAGGTTGGTAGACAGCAACCACCCAGGGAGGTACTACCGTCCTGCCAAGTGAATGTAAAACAAAAGCCTGTGATTGTTTTACATGATGGTAGGATTGCTGGTGTCTTTTGTCTGTCTCATAAATATGCAAGATTACAGGTATGTCTTGCTACTTCTACTTACACTTAGGTCCACTAACTACATTAACTTTATTTATACGGGAAAGGGCTAGAAACCCCCTTCTCCTGTATATAAAAACAAAATTTTTAAAAAAGAGAAACTTTAGTTTTTTTTTTTGGGGCCACCCCCCCCTCGGTGGGATACGGTGTAGTTGAAAGAAAAAAAAAAATTTATTTATAACACTATCTGAGTTTTCTTTGTTTTTATTTTAATAGTTTGGTCTTATTATTTTTCCCCTTTATATCCATGGGAAAGTAATAAGAATCTTACCTCCGTAACCCTTGCTTTTTAAAAAGTCAACAAAAATCCGGGAAAAAAGGGGCAGAAACCCCTTTTTTTCCCTGTAAAGTTTACTAAAAAGAATAAAAGAAGAAAATTGTCAAAGGGGAAGCCCAAATTTGCAGGGATGATGGCAGATGATTAGAAAGAGATGATCATGACCAAACACAAGCACAGACCTCTTTGATGCCCGTGTCCATCTCACGCTATGCAAAACCAAAACACATAAAAGCCCCAAAATCTGGGAATTTATTACCTGTAAAATAAAAAAGAAACACACTGTTTAAAATTCAAGTCTCCCTCAAGATCACTTACTCACTCAAAACCCAAAAAAATATAATAAAATAACCTTTTAAAATTGTTACCCAAAAAAGTTACTCACAATTTTTTCACATAAATGTTAACCTAGGGCCCAATCTAACTTTTTTTTTTTTTAAAAAATTCACAAACCCAAAGAAAACTCCCTTCTAAAGAAGAACAGAATGCAGCAAAACCCTAGACCTGTCTTTTAATACTCATTTGTCTTTATAAATCTGTTTTCAAAATGTCTTACATGGGTTTACTTGCTTTTTAATCTCATTTAATTTTTAAACCAGCCCTAATGCTAGCATATAAGTGACTTTGGCATGGGCCTTTCCCGTATTTTTTTTGTACCTCTGTATGTATGCTAAAAATTTCTAAATAAATAAATAAATAAATAAAAAAATTGTGGATGTTATGAATGAGAAGAAGCTGGATGCCTGGCTTTAAGTGAAACAAAGCTAAAGGGGGGCGGGAGATTTTCAGTGAAGAGGAATAAAGGGGATTAGGTCGGGGGTTTCAAATAGAGTTAGAGCTAAAGAAGGAGTACAATAATGTTAAAGGGAAATAAGCTAGGGCAGGAAAACAGGAACTATAAATTTTATTAAATTCAAGGATTATGTGGAGTAAAATAAAGATTGGATGTGAAAATTTGGGTTATAGTAAGCGTGTAGCACCGGGAAAGAAGAAGAAGTGTAGAGGAGAGAGAGAGATTTTGGAAAAATGTTGAGTGAATGCGTGGGGAGTTTTGAATCAAGTGTGAGAGTAATGGTGGTTGGGGATTTCAATGCTAAAGTGGGTAAAAAATGTTATGGAGGGAGTAGTAGGTAAATTTGGGTGCCAGGGGTAAATGAAAATTTGGGGAGCCTTTTAATTGAGCTATGTGTAGAAAGAGATTTGGTAATAAGTAATATATATTTTATGAAAAAGGGATAAATAAATATACAAGGTATGATGTAGCACATAATGAAAGTAGATTATTAGATTATGTATTGGTGGATAAAAGGTTGATGGGTAGGCCCAGGATGTAAAATGTTTATAGAGGGGCAACTGATATATCGATCATTATTTAGTTGTTTGCTACAGTTAGAGTAAGAGGTAATGGGAAAAGAGGAAGGTGGCAACAACAAGTAAGAGGGAGGTGAAAGTGTAAAAAACTAAGGGGAGGAAGTTCAGGGGAGATATAAGCGACTAATTTGGGAGAAAGGGGGCTAGTGCAAAGATGAGTACGGGGGGTTGAAGAGGGTTGGAATAGTTTTAAAAATGCAGTATTAGAATGTGGGGCAGAAGTTTGTGGTTATAGGAGGGTGGGGGGGAGGAGGAAAGAGGAGTGATTGGGGGAATGATGAAGTAAAGGGTGTGATAAAAGAGAAAAAGGGAGCTTAGAGAGGTTTTTAACAAAGCAAAGTGTTATAAATAAGAGCAGAGTATATGGAGAGTAAAAGAAAGGTAAAGAGAGTGGTGAGAGAGTGCAAAAGGAGAGCAGATGATAGAGTGGGAGAGGCACTGTCAAGAAATTTTAATGAAAATAAGAAAAAATTTGGAGTGAGTTAAACAAGTTAAGAAAGCCTAGGGAAAGTATGGATTTGTCAGTTAAAAACAGAGTAGGGGAATTAGTAGATGGGGAAAGGGAGGTACTAGTAGATGGCGAGAATATTTTGAGGAACTTTTAAATGTTGAGGAAGAAAGGGAGGAGGAAATTTCATGCACTGGCCAGGGAGGTATACCATCTTTTAGGAGTGAAGAAGAGCAGAATGTAAGTGTGGTGGAGGTACGTGAGGCATTACGTAGAATGAAAAGGGGTAAAGCAGCTGGAACTGATGGGATCATGACAGAAATGTTAAAAGCAGGGGGAGATATAGTGTTGGAATGAGTGGTACTTTTGTTTAATAAATGTATGAAAGAGGGGAAGGTACCTAGGGATTGGCAGAGAGCATGTATAGTCCCTTTACATAAAGGGAAAGGGGACAAAAGAGACTGTAAAAATTATAGAGGAATAAGTTTACTGAGTATACCAGGAAAAGTGTACGGTAGGGTTATAATTGAAAGAATTAGAGGTAAGACAGAATGTAGGATTGCGGATGAGCAAGGAGGTTTCAGAGTGGGTAGGGGATGTGTAGATCAAGTGTTTACATTGAAGCATATATGTGAAACAGTATTTAGATAAAGGTAGGGAAGTTTTTATTGCATTTATGGATTTAGAAAAGGCATATGATAGAGTGGATAGAGGAGCAATGTGGCAGATGTTGCAAGTATATGGAATAGGTGGTAAGTTATTAAATGCTGTAAAGAGTTTTTATGAGGATAGTGAGGCTCAGGTTAGGGTGTGTAGAAGAGAGGGAGACTACTTCCCGGTAAAAGTAGGTCTTAGACAGGGATGTGTAATGTCACAATGGTTGTTTAATATATTTATAGATGGGGTTGTAAAGGAAGTAATGCTAGGGTGTTCGGGAGAGGGGCGGGATTAAATTTTGGGGGAATCAAATTCAAAATGGGAATTGACACAGTTACCTTTTGCTGATGATACTGTGCTTATGGGAAAATTCTAAAGAAAAATTGCAAAGGTTAGTGGATGAGTTTGGGAATGTGTGTAAAGGTAGAAAGTTGAAAGTGAACATAGAAAAGAGTAAGGTGATGAGGGTGTCAAATGATTTAGATAAAGAAAAATTGGATATCAAATTGGGGAGGAGGAGTATGGAAGAAGTGAATGTTTTCAGATACTTGGGAGTTGACGTGTCGGCGGATGGATTTATGAAGGATGAGGTTAATCATAAAAATTGATGAGGGAAAAAAGGTGAGTGGTGCGTTGAAGTATATGTGGAGTCAAAAAACGTTATCTATGGAGGCAAAGAAGGGAATGTATGAAAGTATAGTAGTACCAACACTCTTATATGGATGTGAAGCTTGGGTGGTAAATGCAGCAGCGAGGAGACGGTTGGAGGCAGTGGAGATGTCCTCTCTAAGGGCAATGTGTGGTGTAAATATTATGCAGAAAATTCGGAGTGTGGAAATTAGGAGAAGGTGTGGAGTTAATAAAAGCATTAGTCAGAGGGCAGAAGAGGGGTTGTTGAGGTGGTTTGGTCATTTAGAGAGAATGGATCAAAGTAGAATGACATGGAAAGCATATAAATCTATAGGGGAAGGAAGGCGGGGTAGGGGTCGTCCTCGAAAGGGTTGGAGAGAGGGGGTAAAGGAGGTTTTGTGGGTAAGGGGCTTGGACTTCCAGCAAGCGTGCGTGAGCGTGTTAGATAGGAGTGAATGGAGACGAATGGTACTTGGGACCTGACGATCTGTTGGAGTGTGAGCAGGGTAATATTTAGTGAAGGGATTCAGGGAAACCGGTTATTTTCATATAGTCGGACTTGAGTCCTGGAAATGGGAAGTACAATGCCTGCACTTTAAAGGAGGGGTTTGGGATATTGGCAGTTTGGAGGGATATGTTGTGTATCTTTATACATATATGCTTCTAAGCTGTTGTATTCTGAGCACCTCTGCAAAAGCAGTGATAATGTGCGAGTGTGGTGAAAGTGTTGAATGATGATGAAAGTATTTTCTTTTTGGGGATTTTCTTTCTTTTTTGGGTCACCCTGCCTCGGTGGGAGACGGCCGACTTGTTGAAAAAAAAAATACATATATATATATATAAAATAACTTTAAAACACTTGAAATTTTGGAAAGTCTCCAGATATAATGGAGAGATGCAGAGCTCAGAAAATATAAACAAACCAGGTGGGGCACACCATATTAGAAAGACAGGGTGAGCTGTATAGAGAGTTTTGGTCATAATTTAAAATTGCCGTATTAGCGAAACACTGTAAAGCGGGGCCCTGCTGTACTTGATTATTTTTAAAACTTTTAATAAATAACTTCCTTACCATATATGGAGAGGAGATCTGGTCATTATCACATAAGGTATAGAAGAAGACAGTAACAGGCTTGGTGATGCGCTTGGGACAGAAGGATCCAGAGGCTGCTATCTCAGCAGTGAAGCCCTGAACTGTGGATACAGGCTCAAGACGACCATTTAAGACACATTCCTCAAAGCTGCCTAGTAGGTTGGAACACGTAACAGTGGCTGGAGCTGATATTGATAGTTGTGTTGATTTGGTGGTGTTGATGTGAGCTGCATTGGTTTCCACAGTGTAGACTTCTTCCTCGTCATTATCACAAGTATACAACGCGCTGCAGTGGAACGATGTCGATCTACAATTTTTGTGTGAAAGGATCAGTGAAGTAAAGGAGTGTTGCATATCTCCAAAGACTAGATCAAGTGGGGGTAATTACTGTGTAACCTTACCATGAGAAGCACATATTAATGGTGATGCTCCAGTACACAACATTCATCATGTCTCTGCCAACCCAACATACAAAGGGTGAAGTTGTGCATTTTTTGTTTCAATTTAAAATGTATTAATAAAATATACATCAGATCTTTAATCTGCATGTGTATGTTCCTAGTTATATGCAGATAGAAAATTTTGGTAGGCAGAATGTACTTATAATATCTAGTTAAGGCTGTAAACAATGAAAAGTAAAAAAAAATGATAATTGTAAGGCAATGCATTCAAGGTCAAAAGCAGCAGAGAACCAAGAAGCAAACAAAATGTATGTTGCATAAGACGGAGTAAAGTGTGAGGTGTGCACATGGCATGTAGGCTTCTCATTGTAACAATGAGAAGCCTACATGCTATGTGCACACCTCTTGTGACAACTGCAACCCCTCTCACTTGCTCTTGCTTGCTAGCAATGCAAATAGTCCAAATCACAAAAATTTGTAGATAATTTAAAACTGTGATTAGTTAACCACTAGACAGTACATCAAACTGATAAAAGTTATAAAAAAGTATGTCAAAGGTTGCCATTACCTGACCGTGTAAGAAGTGCCGCTGATACTGATGCCACAGATTAATATGAAGGAATTTTATAACTTAATGGCACAGTATGCAAGCCATGGAAACTGGTAATAGACTGAGATCTTTTGGAAAGCATTCATCCTGCACTGCTACACTATACCTCTAGATATCGCTAAAGTCGACAGGCTACATCCCATTATGAAATCTGTTTAATGAACAAAATTTGTTCTCTCTCTCTCTCTCTCATTCTTATTATGACTGTCATTGAAGAGCATCTGAATATAATTAATAACTACCAGTCACACCACCTGAGTACAGTGCATAATTGTACACTGCATGTTTTAACTGCACTTTTAACAATGCAGTTCATGTGTAGAGACCATAATTTATAGCAAAGTTGTCTTGTCAAGCCTTAGTTGTGTCTAGGATAATTGTGCACCAACCTAGACATCTAACATGTCCTGGTCATAACCAGAGTTACCTGGAGAACTCAACCAGCTCCCATACTTTACTTACTCAAAAAGTAACTTATTCAAAATTACTACTTTTAAACTCAAAATATAAAATATGTACCTGTGAGAACACAAGGTGGGACTGCAAGCAAAGTAATGAGTTAATAAAGAGTCTATTCTCAGAGAGACTACAATGTTTAATTCACTCCCTCCAATGTTACACAGCTACACATTACCATTGTATTAATATACAAATAACTTTTTTCCCCTCTTGTCCACTTTCATTTGCCCAATTCATCTGTTCCACATGGACTATACATACAACAAAGCAAACAAGATTTCATCTAAAAACTGAAATTCCAAACATTTCTTATACTGCTGCATATTTATTTTTTGACCTTATCTGTAAAGCTTCTATTTTTCAATTATCTTTACTCTGGATATCAATTTTCTTTTTTAAAACATAGTAATACAAAACAGCAGACCACTGGTCTTACTAAAATGCAGCTAACTTTTAGCACTGAGTTATGTAAATTTTTTCAATGAACCAGCTGCATCCCACCGAGGCAGGATGACCTAAAAAGAATGTTTTCCTTTTAAGGTCACGAAAGTTTTTCTTTTTAAATTTAGTAATTTATACAGGAGAAGGGGTTAATAGCACCTTCCTCCCAGAATTTTAGTCACCTCTTGCAACACGAATGGTTTATGGAGGAAGAATTCTTTTCCACTTCCCCATGGAGATAAGAGGAAATAAAAAAGAACAAGAACTATTAAGAAAATAAAAGAAAACCCAGATGGGTGTGTAAATATACATGCGTTTACATGCATGTGTAGCGTGACCTAAGTGTAAGTAGAAGCAGCAAAATATACCTGGAATCCCGTGTGTTGATAAGACAGAAAAAAAGACACCAGCAATCTTACCATGGTGTCATTTTGTCTCAAACTTCACTAGTAATAAATAAATACATGGATTCTTATGCAAAGAGTACAGAATTATTTTGCTTTAATAACATTATAAATTCTCCATGGGGAAGTGGAACAGAATTCTTCTTCCATAGGCCATGCGTGTTGTAAGAGGCGACTAAAATGCCAGGAGTAAGGGGCTAGTAACCCCTTCTCCTGTATAAATTATTAATTTAAAAAAAAAAAAATAGATTTTCTTTTGGGCCACCCTGCCTTGGTGAGGTGCAGCCAGTTTGTTGAAAGAAGAATAGCATAAATGATATAAAAAATTGGTCTAAAATTTATTTTAACACACTGGCCATTCCTCAGAGCAAGGAAGAATGATGTAAAGGAAGAAAGCACATTCATTATCACAATTCCCAGCTGCTCCTCTAGAAGCGCTCAGATATAACACCTCAAATGATGCTCTGAACTGCAACTTTCAAACTCATCCTTCAGAATGCAGGCCAGTACTTCCCACAACCAAAACTCAGCCAGTTTCCCTGATGCCTTCACAAACTTGCACACATTCCATCAGCAGGTTAACTGTCAAAAACTACTTGTTTTCACTCACTCCAATCTAATGCAATTTATCTGATGATAATGAAGATATTATGGAGTGCAGCATTATCTGTACTAATTTAGTGACATTAAAAAATTCTCGGCTGTTACCCATATGGTAAATATGTATTTGAGCAATAAATGGAGGACTGAGCTACAATTTTATTACTTTCATACCAAAATCAGTCTTATGGTATATAGTATCCATGAATGCCCTCTATAAGTGCTAAAGATTTCCTCTACAAATCCAAACAAATGTCATTCTCTAGTGGTTGTAGTCTGTCACAAAATTTCTGAAACCATACAACACAAAAATTAGTTTTCTTCATGTGATCATTTTACTTTCTTCTGTTTTTATCACCTTACTTATTTGATGTCTTCTAACTAATAGTAATAAACCTTATGTAACTAGCAGCAGGGGATACCGCCTTTGTCTGCATAGAGAGAGCAAAGATCTCAATGTTGTTTATGGAGCTCACACTTCCATGTGCACGACTTAACAACAAAGTAATGTACAAGCTGTCCATAACCCAGTAATGAAAAATGCATTATGAAAACATGCACTGGGACAAATAAGCAAGTGATGGTTACAGACAACAGCACTGAGCAGGTGGATAGCTAAATGGATAAACACATTAATTCATTCATGTCGAAATCTTTGATACTTTGTTCCCTGCTTTATTACACAGTAAACACAGTTTCATGCTACTCTATAAAAGAAATGAATACAATATACACATTAGCACATGCATGCAAACCTACATAATTATGTAATCCTTTATGTTACACAATTTAAAGCCATGATATCTACCCCTAGTGCAGAAGAATCCTCTAATTATATATAAATTAAATTTAGTTATCTTTTAAGGATATAGACTTTCTTCCATGTGTTAACAAAGCTTCTACTCTGAAGTTAAAGGAAGTAATCTTTCTTCTGTGTAACATCATTTTCACAGTTGTACCAATTAATAGTCAGCACTTTAATTTCCAGTGTAAGTTTTGTTTTCCTCGTTCAGTTTCCCCAAGCTTGTGACTTTTATCAATTTCTCCTTTACCATTTGATTATTCTCATGGAGGTTATTCACATTTCTTCCATACTTTAATTTTTAACACACTAGCCATCTCCCACTGAGGTAGAATAACCCAAAAGAGCAGAAATGTATTCATCATCGTTCATGCATTCAAATGCTCTCTTGCCAGAAGTGTGCAGATATCACAGTTCAGATGACCCTCCACACTGCAACATCCTCACTCCTCCTGTAGCCTAGGCACTGTACGTCCTACCTCCAGGGCTCAACTCCATCTAACCGACTTCCCTGAATCCTTCCATAAGCTTTATATTGTATCAAATTCATGTGCATTACAAAAAATCAAATTCAAGATATAATCAACTCAAATGTATAACTACTGCAACTAATTTACATGGCTCATAAGAAATGAAAAAGATTTCTTATTTAGTACCAAATACAGTGTGATATGCATACTGTAGCAGCGTAAAGATTTCTTAAGCCGATGATTCAAAAGCTTCTAAAGTGAACAGTACAAGGCAATTAAAATATAGTCACAAATTCTACACCTATGAAATTTTCGTTCCTAAAGGGAATCAATGCATCAGAGATCTCTACAAGTATTTTAACTATTAAAACACTTTTAAACTTACCTCTTAATAGCAGCAACACTATTGAGACTTGAATCATAGTCAAAACGTTTGCCTTTGCGCAACGGTGCTGGAGATGAAGTAAGCGGCAGTCCAGTCTTGCTGTGAAACACCATATTTGTTGCAGAATCTAGAGATCGTCGGAACTGAGCCTTTTCACTAGCCGATGGAATAGGAACCCCCTTTCCATTACAAATTTTTTCAACTTCATCATCTACATGATTCAAATCTCGTAGTTGAACACCAAAGTCTTCCTCTTCCTGAACTACCATCTCCTGTGCTTCACTTTTATCATGTGTTCCTTGCCCTACCACTTCACTCCATTCCATATCATTATTCTCATAATTTGGTGATTTGTTATCCTGAGTGTTATCCTGAGCTGGTTGATGATTTTTAGTCATAAGGTGCTTGAGCAAACTTGTACTCTTTAAAAACCCTTCATGGGTATCCCGTACAATTTTACCAGTATCTTGGCTTTTAATTTTTAAAATGGTTTGGCCAGCTACTTCTGATGGGAACTTTTCATTTAAATAGTTGCCATTTGATATATTTTTCTCTGTTTTATTTACAACAACTGAATGAATAGCTCTTCCATCTTCAAATTTTAATGCCCTTTTAACTGTTTCTTTCTCTTTTAAAGACTTTAATTGAACTGAATCTTGACTATGATCTTGTTCTTCTTCAAAGACATGATTATATTCTTTCTGAAAACTTGATAAAACTGCACTAAATGGACTTTTAACTAAATTCTGTGAAGTTTGCTTCTGAGGTTGAGAGGTTACAGGAAGTGTGGGCTCACTAGTGGCAGTAAAGAAACTAGTCTTTTGAGTAATTTTCTTAGCTTCGATGCACCTAGATTGACTTGAAGATAAAAATGATTGCACACTCTGTCCACAAACATTTTTTGAGTCATAATTAACCTGTTCATTGTATTCACCTGCACTTCTTTTATCACAAGATTCCTTACTAATATCACTACAAACTCTGGTCCGATATGATTCACTACTATCCACTAATGTCTTACAACTAGAAATATCACAATGTTTCTCACCACTACGAGCTATAGCTTCAAGAAACAAGTTTTCAGGACTAGAGGTTAACTCTTGGACATCTTTGTCCCAATTTTCTTTATGGCACTTTTCACTGTGTCCATGAAAACCTAAAGATGGGTCTTTTGGTCCCACATTCTTTTTACATTTATTCCAAAACACATCACCTGTCTTCCGTTCATCTTTCTCAAACTTACAATCAGTTTTCCCATCTTGTTCTTTCAAATGAAGGGACTCTAATTTACCTTCTTTCCAATATCTACCATCTATCTTCTTTTCTGTACAATTTGCACATTTTACATCAATTTCCTTTTCTTCCCATGATTTACTGCTAACATGCCCTTGATAATTTGAAAAATAACTTGATTCACAAGCACTTCTTGGAGATTCAGTTTGGGATTTATTCCTATGGCGATCAATACGTAGAGGCGGTACAGGAGTTGGTTGCCGGAGAACACTAAGGATTTCCATGGTCTCTTTTGGAGTTAACTCAAAGTTAAACTTGCTGTGAAACAAGTGGCTTGGGCTAACATCACCCCTCTTCTTCATTTCTTGCTTCAAAGCCTTAAAAAAATAAAAAAATAAAAATTATAATATTCACGAACAAAATAGAAAAATAACTATACAGAATTGTACATCTGTCTACTGAAATAAATTATACAGTACCAATATTACTATCACAGTAAAATGGTCATAGAGTACAGTGGACCCCCGGTTAACGATATTTTTTCACTCCAGAAGTATGTTCAGGTGCCAGTACTGACCGAATTTGTTCCCATAAGGAATATTGTGAAGTAGATTAGTCCATTTCAGACCCCCAAACATACACGTACAAACGCACTTACATAAATACACTTACATAATTGGTCGCATTCGGAGGTGATCGTTATGCGGGGGTCCACTGTATTATGCTTTTAAAGCATGAATGAATACCCATGTGAATAAGATAAACCAATGTCTCCCTGAATGTATGTACAGTACATAGAACATTACAAACAAATGTAAATGCTATATGTTTACCTTGGAATGAAGATGTGAAGATTTAGTTTCCCCTTTTTTGCCTATTTCAGATAAATCCTCCAAACTGGAGCACAGATGCTTTCCAGTGTATAAGCAAGACAGTCGAAGCTGATCATCTATCACCTTAGGAAGGCCAAGAGTTTCCTGTGTCTGTTTACCCAGCTTCAAGTGACTCTGCTTCACTCTTGTGCTACATACGCTTATCCCCATTTTAGAGTTGCTTGTAGAAGCTTCATTATCTGATGGAAACTGTTGAAAATATTCCCTTTTGCTATGCTGATGATCTGTCTGACATTCCCACTCGCTGGGATACTCTCCACGTCGTTTCAACCCTTGGTCACGGCCTGAGTTAAAATCTTGGCCACTAGCACCAATTTCAGGATATTCTCCCCTAGTTCTTAATCTTGAATATGGATTGCACTCTTGGTATTCTCGAACAGGTCTTCCATCTTTGTATGAAGTAGAAAGTTCAGGGTATTCTCCAGTAGGTCTCTGATATTCAGGGTACTCTCCAGTAGGTCTCTGATATTCAGGGTACTCTCCAGTAGGTCTCTGATATTCAGGGTACTCTCTGGTAGGCCTCTGATATTCAGGGTACTCTCCAGTAGGCCTCTGATATTCAGGGTGCTCTCCAGTAGGCCTCTGATATTCAGGGTACTCTCCAGTAGGCCTCTGATATTCAGGGTACTCTCCAGTAGGTCTCTGATATTCAGGGCACTCTCCAGCAGACCTCTGATATTCAGGGCACTCTCCAGTAGGCCTCTGATACTCAGGGTACTCTCCAGTAGGCCTATGATATTCAGGGCACTCTCCAGTAGGCCTATGATATTCATGTTGCTCTTGCATTTGGTATTCAGGATAATGTTGGTATTTCCCACCTCGTGGGGATAACTGACCTAGTGACTTTGGATGCTGGTCATAGCTGCAGGGATTTACACTAAGATGAGTTCGTTGTGGATGGGGTGTAATTTGTTGAGGTTTCTGTTGCTGTACTCGTTGAACGTGTGGCCAGCACATTTGTGGACGACTGTATATATATTGTGGCCTTCGATACTGCTGATAAGGTCCTGAGAACTCAAATCTGTACGTATTTTGCTGCAACTGATGGCGATGCTGATGAAGATTTAATACTTCAGCATTGGGTGAGCACAGCGAGTCCACTGAAGAGTGATGAGTAATTGGGGTTATCGGAAAACGTGCCTGGGTCCAAGAAAATGGATGAGAAGGTGTAGTGGGGCCTAACACCATGCTAACATCTGGAGGTTTATTAATTTGGGGAGCTGGTGGTCTAGGACGACAAATAAGATGTTCAGGGGTTTCCAACGATGGGGAACCTGATCGAGAAGGGGACTGATAACGACGAGGAAAGCGAGTAAGGGAATTAGGGGGATCCAGGAGAGATTCACCAAGCTGTGTATCTGGAGACTCACTGCGACTAATACGCGAGTTCTCTGCCAATTTTGCCTTCATCATACTTCTCCTTAAGTCGTCATCACACCTGCAAAGTTTACACATACTGTCTAAATAAACCGTAAGTATCTAAATGAATCTAAAATATAAAAAATAAGTAGAGTGATTTCTGTCATTGGAATAATTAGTGTGTGGAGGTGTGCAAGTTGCAAAAACTTTTGAAATGAAAATATGAAATTTCTTATATAGAAAAGCCTATTAACTTGAAAAGTTATTATAGTAATTAATATAAATAATAAGTGAACTTAATAGAAAATTGCAAATTCAAGTTTTAGAAAAAAAAATTTTAATAAATTCTGAATAAAAGTAAATTTTCTAATTAACATTTAGAATTGTTCATAATCCTGCATCTTATTTGGAAAATATTTATTTTCACTTCTGGAAGAAATCAGAATACAAAAATTCCAAATAAGATTAACTACAATACAAAGTTTCCTAACAAGTGGTAGCATTTGTTACATTATATAATGTACTCAGTCAAGTACAAAGATCATTTGTAAACAGTACAGAAGACTCTCACATTTCATTAGGATTACAGTCGTACATTCCTGAAAACTGGCGCCATATGTGAACTCACAATAAGGACTGAAGATAATACTGGAAATATAGGAAAACATTTTTGACACTAGGAAAACAAAAGTTATTTTTAATTTCTTAATTCAAAGGTTTTCATACCTTACATTGTACAGTAGTTTCTATGACTTGTGTGAAGATAAGTGATGCTGGCCAACTAGGCCTAGTTGAAGGTAGTGTTGCTCTACTAGACCTAGTTGAAGGTAAGTGTTGCTCTACTAGACCTAGTTGAAGGTAAGTGTTGCTCTACTAGACCTAGTTGAAGGTAAGTGTTGCTCTACTAGACCTAGTTGAAGGTAAGTGTTGCTCTACTAGACCTAGTTGAAGGTAGTGTTGCTCTACTAGACCTAGTTGAAGGTAAGTGTTGCTCTACTAGACCTAGTTGAAGGTAAGTGTTGCTCTACTAGACCTAGTTGAAGGTAAGTGTTGCTCTACTAGACCTAGTTGAAGGTAAGTGTTGCTCTACTAGACCTAGTTGAAGGTAAGTGTTGCTCTACTAGACCTAGTTGAAGGTAGTGTTGCTCTACTAGACCTAGTTGAAGGTAAGTGTTGCTCTACTAGACCTAGTTGAAGGTAAGTGTTGCTCTACTAGACCTAGTTGAAGGTAAGTGTTGCTCTACTAGACCTAGTTGAAGGTAAGTGTTGCTCTACTAGACCTAGTTGAAGGTAAGTGTTGCTCTACTAGACATAGTTGAAGGTAAGTGTTGCTCTACTAGACCTAGTTGAAGGTAAGTGTTGCTCTACTAGACCTAGTTGAAGGTAGTGTTGCTCTACTAGACCTAGTTGAAGGTAGTGTTGCTCTACTAGACCTAGTTGAAGGTAAGTGTTGCTCTACTAGACCTAGTTGAAGGTAGTGTTGCTCTACTAGACCTAGTTGAAGGTAGTGTTGCTCTACTAGACCTAGTTGAAGGTAGTGTTGCTCTACTAGACCTAGTTGAAGGTAGTGTTGCTCTACTAGACCTAGTTGAAGGTAGTGTTGCTCTACTAGACCTAGTTGAAGGTAAGTGTTGCTCTACTAGACCTAGTTGAAGGTAGTGTTGCTCTACTAGACCTAGTTGAAGGTAGTGTTGCTCTACTAGACCTAGTTGAAGGTAAGTGTTGCTCTACTAGACCTAGTTGAAGGTAAGTGTTGCTCTACTAGACCTAGATGAAGGTAAGTGTTGCTCTACTAGACCTAGTTGAAGGTAAGTGTTGCTCTACTAGACCTAGTTGAAGGTAAGTGTTGCTCTACTAGACCTAGTTGAAGGTAAGTGTTGCTCTACTAGACCTAGTTGAAGGTAAGTGTTGCTCTACTAGACCTAGTTGAAGGTAGTGTTGCTCTACTAGACCTAGTTGAATGTAAGTGTTGCTCTACTAGACCTAGTTGAAGGTAAGTGTTGCTCTACTAGACCTAGTTGAAGGTAAGTGTTGCTCTACTAGACCTAGTTGAAGGTAGTGTTGCTCTACTAGACCTAGTTGAAGGTAGTGTTGCTATACTAGACCTAGTTGAAGGTAAGTGTTGCTCTACTAGACCTAGTTGAAGGTAGTGTTGCTCTACTAGACCTAGTTGAAGGTAGTGTTGCTCTACTAGACCTAGTTGAAGGTAGTGTTGCTCTACTAGACCTAGTTGAAGGTAGTGTTGCTCTACTAGACCTAGTTGAAGGTAAGTGTTGCTCTACTAGACCTAGTTGAAGGTAAGTGTTGCTCTACTAGACCTAGTTGAAGGTAAGTGTTGCTCTACTAGACCTAGTTGAAGGTAAGTGTTGCTCTACTAGACCTAGTTGAAGGTAAGTGTTGCTCTACTAGACCTAGTTGAAGGTAGTGTTGCTCTACTAGACCTAGTTGAAGGTAAGTGTTGCTCTACTAGACCTAGTTGTAGGTAAGTGTTGCTCTACTAGACCTAGTTGAAGGTAAGTGTTGCTCTACTAGACCTAGTTGAAGGTAAGTGTTGCTCTACTAGACCTAGTTGAAGGTAAGTGTTGCTCTACTAGACCTAGTTGAAGGTAAGTGTTGCTCTACTAGACCTTGCTGAAGGCAGCGAGGTTTATAGAGTAATAAAATGTAATACTTTGGGTAGTTGAAATAGTTGACTGGGCAGTTTTTTGTGCTCAATCATTAAAATTGAAGTAATACTAGTGAAATAGCTAAGAATCTGGTTGACTGGAATAATGAAATTGGCCTAAAATAGGAGTAAAAGTGGGCAAAATTGCCGTTGAGTAAATATCGCTTACACAGTACAATTTGCAATAGTGTAATTACCATCAAATTTTGTACTTTTTATTACCTTCAGAAAAAGATTTTCTACCATTTCATAAGAAAAAATAAACTTTTTTTGTTTTTTAAATTCTTGGACCCTGTGGACAAGGCATAGATCTACAACCTGGACCCTCAAAGGGTTAAAAGGTTATGACAACCAATTTTTTCTTATCTTGAATTCTGGTTGCTGATACTTGTTGATTTGTAAATATGTGGAGAGTGTTGCTGTGGCCGGGCTGGACCCCAGGGAGATGACACTGGTTCTTGTGTTAATGTAAGTAACAGTAGTTCTTGTGTTAATGTAAGTAACAGTAGTTCTTGTGTTAATGTAAGTAACAGTAGTTCTTGTGTTAATGTAAATGACAGAGGTTCTTGTGTAATGCAGTGGTTCTTGTGTGACGCAGAATTGTTGATACTTGATAGTTGTGCTGGAATGCTCAGATATTCTGCAATGCATCTTTGCTGTTCTTCTTTCTCCCTTGTCATAAATGGAATCAAGTGGGAGACCTTTCCTTGTTTACCACTCACTCCACATATCCACAAATTTTTGTCTTACTCACCTGCACTGACCTCTATCATTATTATTATTTTATTATTATTTTTTTATTATCACACTGGCCGATTCCCACCAAGGCAGGGTGGCCTGAAAAAGAAAAATTTTCACCATCATTCACTCCATCACTGTCTTGCCAGAAGGGTGCTTTACACTACAGTTTTTAAACTGCAACATTAACACCCCTCCTTCAGAGTGCAGGCACTGTACTTCCCATCTCCAGGACTCAAGTCCGGCCTGCCGGTTTCCCTGAACCCCTTCATAAATGTTACTTTGCTCAAACTCCAACAGCACGTCAAGTATTAAAAACCATTTGTCTCCATTTACTCCTATCAAACATGCTCACGCATGCCTGCTGGAAGTCCAAGCCCCTCGCACACAAAACCTCCTTTACCCCCTCCCTCCAACCTTTCCTAGGCCGACCCCTACCCCGCCTTCCTTCCACTACAGACTGATACACTCTTGAAGTCACTCTGTTTCGCTCCATTCTCTCTACATGTCCGAACCACCTCAACAACCCTTCCTCATCCCTCTGGACAAGTTTTGGTAATCCCGCACCTCCTCCTAACTTCCAAACTACGAATTCTCTGCATTATATTCACACCACACATTGCCCTCAGACATGACATCTCCACTGCCTCCAGCCTTCTCCTCGCTGCAACAATCATCACCCATGCTTCACACCCATATAAGAGCGTTGGTAAAACTATACTCTCATACATTCCCCTCTTTGCCTCCAAGGACAAAGTTCTTTGTCTCCACAGACTCCTAAGTGCACCACTCACCCTTTTCCCCTCATCAATTCTATGATTCACCTCATCTTTCATAGACCCATCCGCTGACACGTCCACTCCCAAATATCTGAATACGTTCACCTCCTCCATACTCTCTCCCTCCAATCTGATATTCAATCTTTCATCACCTAATCTTTTTGTTATCCTCATAACCTTACTCTTTCCTGTATTCACCTTTAATTTTCTTCTTTTGCACACCCTACCAAATTCATCCACCAATCTCTGCAACTTCTCTTCAGAATCTCCCAAGAGCACAGTGTCATCAGCAAAGAGCAACTGTGACAACTCCCACTTTATGTGTGATTCTTTATCTTTTAACTCCACGCCTCTTGCCAAGACCCTCGCATTTACTTCTCTTACAACCCCATCTATAAATATATTAAACAACCACGGTGACACCACACATCCTTGTCTAAGGCCTACTTTTACTGGGAAATAATTTCCCTCTTTCCTACATACTCTAACTTGAGCCTCACTATCCTCGTAAAAACTCTTCACTGCTTTCAGTAACCTACCTCCTACACCATACACCTGCAACATCTGTCACATTGCCCCCCTATCCACCCTGTCATACGCCTTTTCCAAATCCATAAATGCCACAAAGACCTCTTTAGCCTTATCTAAATACTGTTCACTTATATGTTTCACTGTAAACACCTGGTCCACACACCCCCTACATTTCCTAAAGCCTCCTTGTTCATCTGCTATCCTATTCTCCGTCTTACTCTTAATTCCTTTAATAATAACTCTACCATACACTTTACCAGGTATACTCAACAGACTTATCCTCCTATAATTTTTGTACTCTCTTTTGTCCCTGAAGCAAAGACATGAAAAGTATGGTGTAATTTAGACATGGAAGATATCTTAAGAATTACTCCCAAATCTGCATTCTGAAGTATTCTTCACAAGAATACACATCATGGTAGAAAACAAAGGATGCAGCAAGTACACTAAAAGATGACTTATGAACATGATAGGTTCATGACTTGACACCCTTCCTTCAAATATAAGGGCAATGATAAGTTCCTAAAGGAAATTCTTGAACAGCCAGGCTGTGGGGCATACACCAGACTACAGGAAACAAGCTTCAACAGCCTGACTGATCAAACAATGAGGAGGCTTGGTTTGGAGTAGCCTACTCATCTCTTCCATTTTTTTTCTAACAAACCAGCTGTCTCCTACTGAGGCAGGGTGACCCAGAAAAAAACACTTTCACCATTGGTCACTCCATCACTGTCTTGCCAGAGGACCACCAATACTACAGTTCAAAACTATAAACATCCCCAGCCTTCCTTCAGAGTACAGGCACTGCACTTTCCACCCACAATTCAATTGATCACTGGAAATATGTTAGTCTGGGACAGATTTCCGAGACATTTATTATATAATATTTCAGTATGGAGAAGAGACTGGTTATTTGCACTCACTTGCCCAACTCTGTCTTCTTGTTTTGAGAAGATCCAGGAGCAAAGCCTTGTGACAAGAGAGCATCAACCTCCTCCTCTTCCTCATGCAGTTCATGACACACCACTACAGGAACGTTGTCACTGCGGGGGAGCGAACGCACTGCTACCTGCAAGTATTGCTTTGTTTAACACACAAAAGCTTACATTAAAATAAAAATATTAATTCTTTCTTTCTTTCTTTCAACACACCGGCCGTATCCCACCGAGGCGGGGTGGCCCAAAAGGAAAAACAAAAGAAAAATATTAATTATCATCCCAAAAAAGTATGAAGGATAACAGGAGACAGGGAAAGATAACACAGGAGACAGTGAAGGATAACAGGAGACAGGGAAATAACACAGGAGACAGTGAAGGATAACACAGGAGACAGGGAAGGATAACACAGGAGACTGGGAAGGATAACACGGTATCAAGTCAGTTCTCAGATTCATAATGTTATGATTTGCTTATTATAAGTGAACAGTATTTAGATAAGGCTAAAGAGGTCTTTGTGGCATTTATGGATTTGGAAAAGGCGTATGACAGGGTGGATAGGGGGGCAATGTGGCAGATGTTGCAAGTGTATGGTGTAGGAGGTAGGTTACTGAAAGCAGTGAAGAGTTTTTACGAGGAAAGTGAGGCTCAAGTTAGAGTATGTAGGAAAGAGGGAAATTATTTCCAAGTAAAAGTAGGGATTTGACAAGGATGTGCGATGTCACCGTGGTTGTTTAATATATTTATAGATGGGGTTGTAAGAGAAGTAAATGCGAGGGTCTTGGCAAGAGGCGTGGAGTTAAAAGATAAAGAATCACACAAAGTGGGAGTTGTCACAGTTGCTCTTTGCTGATGACACTGTGCTCTTGGGAGATTCTGAAGAGAAGTTGCAGAGATTGGTGGATGAATTTGGTAGGATGTGCAAAAGAAGAAAATTAAAAGTGAATACAGGAAAAAGTAAGGTTATGAGGATAACAAAAAGATTAGGTGATGAAAGATTGGATATCAGATTGGAGGGAGAGAGTATGGAGGAGGTGAATGTATTCAGATATTTGGGAGTGGACGTGTCAGCGGATGGGTCTATGAAAGATGAGATGAATCATAGAATTGATGAGGGGAAAAGGGTGAGTGGTGCACTTAGGAGTCTGTGGAGACAAAGAACTTTGTCCTTGGAGGCAAAGAGGGGAATGTATGAGAGCTTAGTTTTACCAACGCTCTTATATGGGTGTGAAGCATGGGTGATGAATATTGCAGCGAGGAGAAGGCTGGAGGCAGTGGAGATGTCATGTCTGAGGGCAATGTGTGGTGTGAATATAATGCAGAGAATTCGTAGTTTGGAAGTTAGGAGGAGGTGCGGGATTACCAAAACTGTTGTCCAGAGGGCTGAGGAAGGGTTGTTGAGGTGGTTCGGACATGTATAGAGAATGGAGCGAAACAGAATGACTTCAAGAGTGTATCAGTCTGTAGTGGAAGGAAGGCTACCCGGGGTAGGGGTCGGCCTAGGAAAGGTTGGAGGGAGGGGGTAAAGGAGGTTTTGTGTGCGTGGGGCTTGGACTTCCAGCAGGCATGCGTGAGCGTGTTTGATATGAGTGAATGGAGACAAATGGTTTTTAATACTTGACATGCTGTTGGAGTGTGAGCAAAGTAACATTTATGAAGGGGTTCAGGGAAACCGGCAGGCCGGACTTGAGTCCTGGAGATGGGAAGTACAGTGTCTGCACTCTGAAGGAGGGGTGTTAATGTTGCAGGTTAAAAACCCTTCTGGCAAGACATTGATGGAGTGAATGATGGTGAAAGTTTTTCTTTTTCGGGCCACCCTGCCTTGGTGGGAATCGGCCAGTGTGATAATAAATAAAAAAAAAGTAATAATTTCAACTTATATACAGGGGTTTACAGCCTGGAGTCAATTACAATGACTCCAGGCTGAGGGACTGATTACTTCAAACACATGCTCATCTTCACAACTCTTCTTTATATTGGACTGATGAAGCCACTGTGTGGCACAACTTTTGTTTCCTCAATAAGATACCCAAGTGTTGCACACATGTCTAATTTATCCTATCCCTCTCCATCGACCCAAAAATATGAAATGGGTAAACACTATCATGGATGAGACAGAACTAGGTGACAACTCCCTTTACAACCTAAATCTAGGGAGAAAAACCTGAAGGAACAAGGCATAACAAAAATTTGAAGATGTTACCTGCAATACATAAAATTTTGGCTATTAAAAAGGGTATGGTAGAAATAAATAAAAAGATGACAATGGAAGATCCAAGATTGTTCTGGAGATCAAGAGTGTGTTGGGTGATACATAGGCTTCAGATAATTATTAAATGGTGTTCAAGATATGGTGGATATAATGGTAGATTAGAGAATCAGAATGAAAATCTGCACACATGAAATACAGTGCCAGAACAATGGGTAGGATACCAGCATCTTGGGTGAGCCAAGTCAAACTTAAGAGGTTAAAAATATTGTTGAAAATAATGGGGAGAAGTGAGATACAGTAGAGCCTCACTTTAATAGACGTGTCCTGCCCCATGTAAGCAAGTGGAAACACATGCTCTTCTGCTTCTTCTGTAAATTTAGAACAAAAGACTGGAGAAGTGACTGTGAGGCGGTACAACACATTGGGAGGTCGGCGGCCTCTTGACACACTCAACCATGCTGACAACTGGGAGAAGTGCAAGAAGGAGCGCACAGCTGCCATCAATGACCAACCAGTTGCTGTTGCTTCTGGGAGTCTGGAAGGAAGAATTACCCACATCAGCATAGAGGACAAGCATGGGCCTTCATAAAAATTTATACACATTTGTACAACACTAAGTACTAAAGTATGCATAAGTAATGGTGCAATAACTGCAAACAAGTGATAACAGATGCAAAACATCCACAAGAGGAAGTTGCATCACAGCTCTAGGCCTCTCATGTTGCAGCCAATACTTTTTCAAAAGCTTTCAACAGTAGAAAGGAATGATCAGCTAAGGTAGGTGTGTCTGTGGAGGCTTCTATTCCTTGCAACTATTGCAAGCCCTTGGCTGCAACACAAAAGGCCTGGAGGTGTCATTCACCTTCCCCCTGTGGTTGTTTTGCACAAGCAATAGTATATATGTATCAGTTAAAAACAAAATTAAGTAATTTGTTCAGAATATATCGCAGTACAAGTATGCTTAAAATGGTTAAAACAATACATATTTGTAATAAACACCTGCGATCATAGATGGTGAAGTTCCACTGTTCAATGAGGCGAAGGTTTTGAGAGGGAGCGGTAGTAGTATCAAGAGTTGTGGCAAGTGCTGTTCCATGAGGACACTCAGGGGCAACCAACACCTCTAGACTCACTCCTACACCAACACCCCACATCACCCGCAACTGACGCATCAAAGCACCAGCCTGCACACACTGTAGGCAAAAATTCACATCTTGCTAAAATGTACTGTACAATATTTTTTAAGCACTGCCAGCTATCTTCATTAGTTGTACATTTTGTTTTTATTTAATATTTTTCTTACAAATTTCTCAAGTGATCTACCAGTGATTATATCTTCCGTACTCGTGCAATGTCTAGACAATGCCAGATTCATGCTGGTACCTTTTCAGTATTATATTTGAGGGAACTTGGATGCATGAATGTATGGCATACAATACAAGCCTGGTCATATAAACATGTTTTCACTAATTCATGAATGCCAAGGTATCAAGAAATCTTGTACTGTATATCTGATTATAGATCCAATGAAGATTAGGAGATTAGATCAGGTTTCCATGTTCAGTGCAAGGTCTTTGGATAGATTCATTACTTTAAAACATCTTCAAAGACACACAAGATGCACTCATGTTACACAATAAATCTTCTGAAAGTCAAGGATCCAGGTTAATTGTGTGCACCTCCCTCTTATCTTGAGGGCAATCTACTTATTTCCATATTTATGTCACCTCTTAATGTGGGTTATGGCGAGATAATTTGTGGTAGGAGGGTAAGGGATGGAATCAGACCACACAAGGTATAGAGTACTTATCATTCAGGAAGAAAAAGGTAGTGGTGGGTAGCACAGTGGAGCAATAGTCTCTCCTTCACCTTCACCTTCCCATTACATGATTGTTCTCCTTGCACAAAGTGACAGGTCAGATCTTGAAGAGTTTTGGATTGGAGGATATGATCAGGGGATTATCTGGTGGCAATTATATATCCAAGCAGATTTACGTTCACATGCGTAGTGCTCCAAAAGTAGATCTACGAATTTTTTACATATTTTCAAATATAACAAAAAAAAAAGTAGATCAAGTTTTTTTTACACATTTTCAAATGTAAAAAAAAAAAAAAAAAAAAAAAAAAAAGATCTACATTTTTTTACATACTTTCAAATGCTGAAAAAACATAGATCTACGTTTGGACAGTTTAAGGGTTAAATGATTTTCTGTCACTGGTAATGAGCTAGGCTTGTAGGGTAAATACTGGCTGTCATGTGGGTAATGGAAATTTTAGCAGTGTAAAGCTCTGCTTGTGTAACCAGGCCAAGTGTATTCTGGGAGGGAGGAGATGGACTGCCAGTGAAACCTCTGCAATACGAAAAATCTTTATTTTGACAAATGAAAGCACTGCACCATATAAGATGCATTTAACATACATACGTATACGAGTTTATGTGATAAGAGTTAATGCTTTCCATACATTAGGGGCCATCAGATGGATGAAAGAGAGGGGGGAGTTGAGGAAGAATACTTTCCCTACAATAATTTGATTCATGCATAACCCCAGGTATGTCATAAGAACATAAGAAAGAAGGAACACTGCAACAGGCCTACTGACCCATGCAGAGCAGGTCCATGCCCCCCCCCAGATTAGCCCAATGACCCACCCAGTCTGGTCACCTCCACTCAAGGAAGGAGCACGGCACCAGACCCAGCAGCACAAGCTAGTCAGGTCCAACTCTCACTCACCCACACCCACTCATGTATTTATCTAACCTATTTTTAAAACTACACAACGTTTAAGCCTCAATAATTGTACTCGGGAGTTTGTTCCACTCATCCACAACTCTATTACCAAACCAGTGCTTTCCTATATCCTTCCTGAATCTGAATTTTTCAACTTGAAACCATTGCTGCGAGTCCTGTTTTGGCTGGAAATTTTCAGCACGCTATTTACATCCCCTTTATTTATTCCTGTTTTCAAGTGAATCATTTTTCTTTTGTATCAGCAGTCAACATGTGCAGTTTTCATATTCACTAAAAAACTAATCACCCTGAGAGTCACGGTATTTTTTGCATAAGCAATAAAAACCATGCACTTAATCTTATTCTCAGCCTGCCTCCCTCTGCAGGATTAAAATGGGAAAAAATGTAAAAAAGTTTTATATGCTTTTTTTTTTATCAGCCCAGGAGTCACAGGTCATGGCTGTGGCAATGTAATATTACCATACCCATAATATAATATAAAAATTTACAGTATTACTGAAGCACTGCAGTGCTGTTTGTATATTTAGAGAAGTACTGAGCAGTAACTTTACCCAGAGGAAGTGTTGGACTCACTAAAGTTATATCACCACCTGCTGTTATTGTTGGCTTGAGAGGTTGTGTCACCCTGCAGTTTGGTGTGCTTGATTTGAAGTATTACAACAGATTGCAACTGGGTATTGTGTTGAGCTGAGATGGCTAGTACAATAGTTAGTACTGTTTGGCTGAAGAGTCAAGACAACCCACGGAACATGCAACCCTCCAACCCAATAATACCACCACAATGTGTATTTATTTGATATTCTGATAATTTTGTCTTGCAGTTGTTTGGGTGTTACACACTTATAAGAATGGGAGGTATTACTCTGGGCATGTTTATCTAATAAAGAAAAATGTAAACCAACAGCCAATAATATAAGCTAGTATATTAAATGATGAAAAAATATATATGAAACCTAAAAGAAATGCAACAGTAACGTAGCCATCGTTTGTAAACAACTGTGCTGCTGCTGTTGAGTTTTAAAAGTTACAATGCCCCCAAGGACTCTGTGTACCTAACAGTAGCTAACTTCAACAGTTACATTACTGGTTGAAGGATTACAATGGACCAAGGGTTGTTGCAAACTGAGCAACACAATAATTGAGGTATTTCCCACTGGACCATATGTAGGCACTTCTCTATCAATTATTTATACCAAAATACAGCAGGTATGCCAAACATGACCAATTTGTTGATATATGAGCATGTTAAGGGTGGCAATGGCAGTGGCATAAGTGATGCAAACAAGTACTAGTCACATTATTTTTAAATAAATTTCAGTCTCCATGGATATCATTATTTTTAAATATGTCAACAATTATATCTGTTTACATTATAGTGCATTATCTTAATTCATGTTAAAACTTATCATATGGTTTGAAAAGAAAAATAAATGAAGTTTTGAGGGCAGAAACATTAGCCAATCCGAAAATGCTGCAGTGATCAGCAGAAGAGAGAACATATCCAACAGGTTACCTGCAGTCGGCTTCAGGGATGACCGTCCCCTGGTTCCTGACCTGATCAACCAGGCTATTGATACCAGATGCATGCAGAACATATGCACCACAGCCAGGCTTGCTAGGGATTTCCTCAAAATTATGAAATCTCTCTTGATGACAGCGAGGAGAATGTTGAATCCCCTTATGAGGATACTGAATCTTGGTCCCTTACATATATTGAGCTTTTTTTTAGTGTACTCACCGCACCTCTGCTTTTGATTGCAGGTATTCTGCAATGTTTACCAAGCCTCCTGCTTTCATTGGGAGTGATTTTGGTGCACAGGTTTGGAACCAATCCCTCCAGAATTTTCCAGGTGTAGATTATGATGCATTTTTCTCGCCTGCATTCCAAGTGGTACAGTTCAAGACACTTCAAGTGTTCCCAGCAATTCAGGTACTTGATTGAATTGATATGGGCAGTGAAGAGTCTCTGTATGAAGATTCTTGACTCTTCCAGATGCCAAAGTTGTCATTCACTTGACACACACAGAATACACAATGCCTCATTCAAAACCATAAACTTACCAAATATCGATAAATTTGACACATGTGCAACTCTTGGGTATCTTTATTGAGGATACCCAAGAAGATAAAGATACCCAATAAAGATACCCAAGAGTTGCACGTGTCTAATTTATGAACGTGTCGGTTCTCTGAACCATTCATCTACATTACCAAATATTAATGCCATACTGGTCACTGCACATCTTTAACCCTTAAACGGTCCAAACAAATCGACGTTCAAATTCGTAGCTACAAAAGTAGATCTACCTTTTTTAACATATTTTCAAATGTAACAAAAAAAATGTAGATAAAAGTTTTTTTACACGTTTTCAAATGTAAAACAAAAAAGATCTACATTTTTTTACATACTTTCAGATGTTGAAAAAACGTATATATACGTTTGGACCATTTAAGGGTTAAAACACAGTACTGTAATGCTGACCTAACACTCTTCCTCTTAAACTGTTGAGAATACACAGACATCACACACTAAACAAATATCTCCGATATGACTCGTGTTAATTTGAACCTGTACAGAAATTATGCAAATAAAAAGTACTATAAAGATGAAATTACTTACTAGAAGAATTAAAGAAGTGAAACATACAGAATTAGTCTTCTAATCATATTTACAACATTCATCTCTCTCAAACTAATCTTTTAATGCAAATTTCTAAAACTATCAATCAATTTTTTATCGAGTATCACAATACCTTGTGTCAGATTCAAAAGCTAACAAATTCACATCCACATAATCTTTAGTGTAATACTTTGAAATTAAGTTATTTTGAAATTTAAATAATAAAAGCTGGAGGATAAACAGAATCAGTGAAGCCACAACTGCACAGATATATATTCTATACATGATATACAACCAACACTTAGAAAACTGCCTAAGCAATTGATGGACACTCATTACAAGTGGGATAATAAATTATGATGTTTAAGTACATACTTATAACAGCAGAAAAAAAAGAGGACTTTAGCACTTAAAGGTAATATTTATGAGTGAGAAGGCAAGTATATTCTGGGGGTTACTAATCCCGCATAAGCAAAGGAAACTATAAATAAAAGTTAACCCACCACATGATCATTTTGGTCACATGAATGTTTGTGTTGCAACTGGTGTGGCAGAGGGCAGTGGGGCCCAGCATGGTATCCTCTCTCTCCTCCAGGAGTTCTGCCTTCAACCACCAGGATAGCCAGTGCGGTGAACACCTCCCATGGGTCACCAGGAACGTGACCCCCGACCTCCTCAACATTACTCGACCTCATCTTCCTGTTAAAAATACAATACAGTACTTATTAACTTATGTTACGTATTGCCCTTGGATAAGTTTAAGCAATCATTCTTAATGGAAAGTGTGAATACCATCAACCATAGCTGGTGCATACATCAAGGAAAAAACAAGACACTGATAGAGAATAATCCTCTTTAATACAACATTCCTCCAAAGGCTAGACTTCATCAAGTACAGCCTCTCCTCACTTAACGATAGACTCCAGTTCCTAAGATCACGTCAGTAAAAGAATTCGTCACTAAGTGAGGAGCATACTACAATGGTAGTGGGTGTGTGTGTCAACCATCGTTGATATTATTTTAAAGTCACCTTAGCACCATTTATAACATTTCTGGTATACACCTACCATCCGACTTATGACCTGCTCGACTTACGACCATGTTTTTTATGCCAAATTTCTGGGAAATAAACAACTACATGTATTTGTGTTGTGCACAGTGTTTATCCTAAACCTTACAGTATAAAATACAGTACTAACAACATAAAAAGTAAAGTAAAACATGAAATACCAAAATAAAACAATAAAATAAAGTCATTACAAAAATGTTTTGTTGATATTCAGTAGTAAAGTTCGACTTACAACCATTTCGACTTACGACCGGTTTCTCGGAACCGAACTCGGTTGTAAGTTGGATGGTAGGTGTATTTTTAAATGTTTATGCAACAGTGTATTGTATATTGTAATAAACAGAATTGAGGAAATCAGCTCTAATATACACTATTTAGGTATGCATACTGGTCAGACAGCCCGTTGTAAGTCCAAGTTGTCGGTAAATGAGTACGTCGCTAAGTGAGGAGAGGCTGTATACAAAATAAAAAAGCACCCTGAGGTCAGGCTTGGAGATAGGTAATTCCCATGTGTAGTCTTTATATTGTATGATGATGTACATCACAGGAGGTCATGAGTTGTCTTTCTCCAAACCTGACCTAATGGAATTTGTTCATTCCTGTATATATGATAAAGATGAGCCTTGGGCAGATTATTTTAGTAAAAGAATTCTCTGTTACCAGTGTCTTTATTCCCACCTGTTGGCTTTTACCAGTGTTAACCTTAAAAAACAACACAGTTGCATGTCATCATTTTTTATCAGGGAAGAATGATAGTTTTAAGTACATACATTAATAGTCTTCTTTCGACAAACTGGCTGTATCCCACCGAGGCAGGGTGGCCCAAAAGGAAAAATGAAAGTTTCTCCTTTTAAATTTAGTTATATATATATAGGAGAAGGGGTTACTATCCCCTTGCTCCCGGCATTTTAGTCGCCTCTTATGACACGCATGGCTTATGGAGGAAGAATTCTGTTCCACTTCCCCATGGAGAACATTAACCCTTTCAGGGTCCAGAGGCCAAATTTCAAAGTGCACACCAGTGTCCAAGAATTTAAAAAAAAAAAATTTGTTATTTTTCTTATGAAATGGTAGAGAATTTTTTTTTGAAGGTAATAAAACAAAGTACAAAATTTGATGAAAAATTGACGAAATTATGCTCTCGCGAATTTTGATGTCGGCAATATTTATGCGATTTTGCCGACTTTGACTCCCATTTTAGGCCAATTATCTTATTCCAGTCAATCAAATTCTTAGCTATTTCACTAGTATTACTTCTATTCTATGGACTGAGCACAAGAAATTGCCAACTCAGCTGTTTCAACTACAAAATAAAGTGACTGGAAATTGGTAATTTGGCCAATTTAGTGCAAAGTTTAAAATATTCCAGTTTCAAAATAGGGTCCAGAATAAACAATGCAGGCATTCCTGGCACTAAACTAACATTTCCTCTGTTCATTAGTTACATTTTCAGGCTTTACAAATGAATTCCATTTTGATTTTTAATTCACATAATGATTTTTTATTCAAGCCAAAAAATAGATTTACTGTCATGCAATATTGTAACAATTGCATAAATAATATGAGCACATTTGTGAACATATATTAGACCCGCCAGCTGGCATGTATTAGACGTGTGAGATCATTTGTTTACTCTTGAACATCGGCAAAAATTTAACATTTCCGCTACTTTGAGCTCAAGTTTCAAGCCATTTTGAATACTAAAACCAATCAAAATCATCTCTATTTCTGTAATATACCTTCCATTCTATCAAATGAGATCAAGAAACTGCAAATACAACTATAAAACCATATAAAAAAACACTGCAAAGTTGCTGTTTTAATCGAAAATTACGGTCTCAGTTTTTTCTCTCATTATGCATTGTGCTGCAGGATTTGTTTTATGTGGTGCACACATACCACATAGATGTATTCTCTCTTATCTAGGCCCAAATTTACTGCTCACAGTTTATCAGAGTAAGCTGAGCTCATGGCATAGATTTACGGTTTGGACCCTCGACAAAGTCGCAGATCTACGGCACAGACCCTGAAAGGGTTAACTGTCATGTAAAAAAAAAAAAAAATACATTGATTCCAAACCACACTTCAATTGTTAACATAGTGGAAGGTTTTAGACAGCTCATCACACTAGAACAATACCATATGTGGAGAGATACTAGTACAGTATCATAATCAAACAAAAACAACTTCATGGAAATAAAATGGAGGACAATATACAATTGACAGTGGAGTAATTGACATGTACAAACTACGTTACGGAGAGTTCCTCATTATGGTGAGCATATCAATCAGGCAGCGTTAAAATTAACTTATAATTACAACACAATGAGATAAATATACAGTGGACCATCAGGTTAATACACAATCTGTTAATACTGTTTTAAGATTGTGGTATATTTTTGGTGACTCTTCATATTAACCTTTTTACTGTCTCTTACTTAGATCTACACTATTAAAACAAGCATCACTCACACAGATCTATGTCACAGTGCAGTCACAGTGCAGGGTAGTGGTCATATTGCAGGATAGCAGTCACGGTGCAGGGTAGCAGTCACAATACAGGATAGCATAGTGCAGGATAGCAGTCACAGTGCAGGATAGCAGTCACAGTGCAGGGTAGTGGTCATAGTGCAGGGTAGCAGTCACAGTGCAAGGTAGCAGCCACAGTGCAGGGTAGCAGTCACAGTACAGGATAGCATAGTGCAGGATAGCAGTCACAGTGCAGGATAGCAGTCACAGTCCAGGATAGCAGTCACAGTGCAGGGTAGTGGTCATATTGCAGGATAGCAGTCACAGTGCAGGGTAGCGGTCACAGTGCAGGGTAGCAGTCACAGTACAGGATAGCATAATGCAGGATAGCAGTCACAGTGCAGGGTAGTGGTCATAGTGCAGGGTAGCAGTCACAGTGCAAGGTAGCAGTCACAGTGCAGGGTAGCAGTCACAGTGCAGGATAGCAGTCACAGTGCAGGATAGCAGTCACAGTACAGGATAGCATAATGCAGGATAGCAGTCACAGTGCAGGGTAGTGGTCATAGTGCAGGGTAGCAGTCACAGTGCAAGGTAGCAGTCACAGTGCAGGGTAGCAGTCACAGTGCAGGGTAGCACAGTGCAGGGTAGCAGTCACAGTGCAGGGTAGCAGTTACAGTGCAGGGTAGCGGTCACAGTGCAGGGTAGCGGTCACACCGCAGGGTAGCGGTCACAGTGCAGGGTAGCGGTCACACCGCAGGGTAGCGGTCACACCGCAGGGTAGCGGTCACACCGCAGGGTAGCGGTCACAGTGCAGGGTAGCGGTCACACCACAGGGTAGAGGTCACAGTGCAGTGTAGCAGTCACAGTGCAGGATAGCAGTCACAGTGCAGGGTGGTCACAGTGCAGGATAGTCACAGTGCAGGGTAGCGGTCACACCGCAGGGTAGCAGTCACAGAGCAGGATAGCAGTCACAGTGCAGGGTAGTGGTCACAGTGCAGGATAGCAGTCACAGTACAGAGTAGCACAGTGCACGATAGCAGTCACAGTGCAGGGTAGTGGTCACAGTGCAGGGTAATGGTCACAGTGCAGGGTAGTGGTCACAGTGCAGGGTAGTGGTCACAGTGCAGGGTAGTGGTCACAGTGCAGGATAGCAATCACAGTTCAGGGTAGTGGTCACAGTGCAGGGTAGCAGTCACAGTGCAGGGTAGCAGTCACAGTGCAGGGTAGCAGTCACAGTGCAGGGTAGCAGTCACAGTGCAGGGTAGCAGTCACAGTGCAGGGTAGCAGTCACAGTGCAGGGTAGCAGTCACAGTGCAGGGTAGCAGTCACAGTGCAGGGTAGCAGTCACAGTGCAGGGTAGCAGTCACAGTGCAGGGTAGCAGTCACAGTGCAGGGTAGCAGTCACAGTGCAGGGTAGCAGTCACAGTGCAGGGTAGCAGTCACAGTGCAGGGTAGCAGTCACAGTGCAGGGTAGCAGTCACAGTGCAGGGTAGCAGTCACAGTGCAGGGTAGCAGTCACAGTGCAGGGTAGCGGTCACAGTGCAGGGTAGCGGTCACACCGCAGGGTAGAGGTCACAGTGCAGGGTAGCGGTCACACCGCAGGGTAGAGGTCACAGTGCAGGGTAGCGGTCACACCGCAGGGTAGAGGTCACAGTGCAGGGTAGCGGTCACAGTGCAGGGTAGCGGTCACACCGCAGGGTAGAGGTCACAGTGCAGGACAGCAGTCACAGTGCAGGGTGGTCACAATGCAGGATAGTCACAATGCAGGATAGTCACAATGCAGGATAGTCACAATGCAGGATAGTCACAATGCAGGATAGTCATAGTGCATAGTAGTCACAGTGCATAGTTGTCACAGTGCATAGTTGTCACAGTGCAGGATAGCAGTCACAGTGCAGGATAGCAGTCACAGTGGAGTAGCACAGTGCACGATAGCAGTCACAGTGCAGAATATCAGTTGTCGTGGGGGTTCGAAAGGAGATATAATGGTTGAAGATAAACACACTTGTTGGATGGTAACACTATATACTGTCAGACTATATAGTGTCAGATTATATATTGTGCAGGATAGCAGTCACAGCACAGGGTAGTGGTCACAGTGCAGGATAGCAGTCACGGTGCAGGGTATTAGTCACAGTGCAGGGTAGAGGTAACAGTGCAG